GGTGAAATGGTCCTAAATATGCACTTAAGGAGATTCAGGCAGAGTTGTACATGAAGATGGAGCATGCTATAGTGATGTCCTGGAAAAGGGCTTGGATTGGGGTGTATACACCAGGGGTTCAGTTCAGGCTTTTTTACTTACTATACAGGCTTAGAGAAGTCATTTAGCTTCCTTTGTTCCTCATCTCTAACGCAGGAATAATAATACGTGTCCTGTCTGCCCAACGGGAAGTACAGTTATCATCTGCCTAGCCTGTAAGGCTCTGTCAACCAAGTATCAAGCATGTTACATTTGTTGAACACTTAATGCTTTAAACTGCTATTACACACACTAGTGCATTAGAATCCTTCAGATCATTTGGAGGTATTTTTTGACCTTGGGTTGTAAATACAGAACTGCACAATCATAAGCATGTGGGTTATATCAGGCAGCATATTCCATTCCAGTTACTTTACAAACATCTAGTTAATTCATACTCTCAGTTCCAAACACATTGCGTGTGGAATTTAAGGCACTCAGGAAATGCTTGTTGCGCTAATTAATCCAAAAGACTTTGCTGTTAGAATACAGAAGGAGACATATCCAAGAGCACAAGACTCCACAAGTATTTATCAAGAACTAGCAATTTTAAATGCTAGAGGGAATATAAAAATAGCAAAAGATGTGACTCCTGCCCTACTGGAGTTTGTAGTGTAATTGTGGAGATGGTCAATGATACCATTAAAAAGCAGATAAAGTTACGAAAAGAGGAGCGGCCTTCTGCATTATACCTTCATTAATTCATGTCATGCAAACATCACTTTGCCATTAAATCCCATATACACTAAGTCTGAACACTATTCATGTGCAGACTAGAAAGTGGATTAATGTTTGTAGTTTCTCTCTAAAACTTCGCCAATGACTCCAAAAGGACTCATAAATAGGCCTGTGATGGGCATTGAAAATGTCTTCTTTATGTATCTGATTCTTCATCTCGGTAACAAGAAGTGAAAAGAACCATAAATACAACTTTAATTAACAGCGATGTTGTGATGCTTAGAAACAGACCGAAGGCTGTTTGAATCTGTTGGCCTTCTCATAAAGAATTTTGTTTCTCCCAGAGGGTCAAAATTAATTAATGTCCTTACAATTTACTTAGCAGCCCATTGTCTCCGAGATGCTAAACGAGTTCAGTGAGCCATTTCAGTGTATCAAGGATGATATAATCAGGCTGCTTTGAAGACAGCACTCTGTAAAAATATACTGTCTCAAACAGTGATTCACAGGGAAGAGAATAAAGTATCCTGTCAGAATGATTACTTTTCATTATCTTTGGACAACATCACTTGTATACAATATTGCATAAATAACCAGATTGGAAACTGTTCACGTGGTCTTTAATGAACTTACACAAGCTATAAAAGTTCAAAAAAGAAAATAAATACTGTCATTAGTAGTCTTTAATTGTTCCATTAAAAGATGTCAATTGATCACTCCTGTTTGTCTTTTTGAACAATGCCTGGACCTTTCTCATGTCCCTTGACAAATACTTTTATCTTTTCCTAAACTGAGCCTACAGCACTTTTTGTACCATCAGTAAGACTGTACTAGCAGACCTGCTCTGTGGGTTTCAAATGCCGTCTTAAGATAAGGAAAGATGGCTGCAGGTGTTATCTAAAGAGCTCACAGGCATTTGTATCTAGATGTTACTTCCTGGATCTTAGTAGCAAAAGCGAAAATTGGCTTATTTCTCATAATTTCCCAAGGAAGAAAAACATATATTTATCCTTAGGAATTATCATAAAGGTTAAAAAAAGTTTCATCTAAATGTGTATTCATTGTTGTGATGTTTATTACAGTGAAAGCATTATGAAATAATTCAAGAGTTTGCCATTAGATAATTTTGCAAATTATGATATATCCAAAAAATAGAATACTATGCTCTAATTAAAATTGTGTTGCCAAAAATATTTTGTAACATATAAACTTGTTCACATTATATTTTCTAAATTACTAAATCAAGTAGAAACCCATTTTTATTTGAAAATATTTCTGTTAAAAAAGAATGGCAGAATACACAAATACAGAGCTTATAGATGGTTATATTGCTCATACTACTCAGACTACTAGAGAAGTTTTTCTTTTTGTTTATCTGTATTTTAAATATTTTAGAAAAAGCAGTAATCCTTAGTAATGTAAAACTGATGAAAAGAAATATTGAAGAAAAAATAAATATTAAAAGAGTGAAAAGGATTAGTTTATGCTTTTTAAGTGGTAAAACTTGAAAATATCCACCATATCTTCCACAAACACATAAATGTGCTACCATCACGTATGTTAGATTTTCTTTTGAGGTGCAATTCCTGTTTTTAGTTACTTATTTTCTTTTTCTTTTTGGATTTATTCTCCCTCTCCTCTGCTCTGACCTTATCACCCATCCAAATAATGCATATTAATAAACGAGTATGTATCATTTACATCCTTTCCTCATTCTCATGTAGTTCTTCATATACATATCTACGTACAGATTTATTCATATGCACAAATAAGGGGGCATTAGTCGTTCTTTGTTTTAGAAAAGTTGGATCATACTATATACTCATTTTGCATATTGCTTAACTCCTTGAACAATATCTTTTGGAAATCCCTACAAATCAACTGTATAGCACTAAACTCTCTCTTTTTCGTGGCTGCATAATATTGCATTACTGTGGATTTAGCAAGTTACAGCGGACTCAAGGCTGTTCTTCTAGGTTCTTAACTATCACTCAGGGGATAGTTGGCAATTTCTAAAGACATTTTGAGCTGTCAAGACTAGGGAGAGGAGTGCTACTGGCATCTAGCGGGATTCTGCCAAACCTCCTACAGTGCACAGGACAACTCCACAGCAATTAATCCACAGCATTTGACACTGGCCGTCCCTCTGGTTGGAACACTCTTTCCTTAGGTAGCCACATGACTCACTCCCTTACCTCCTTCAAGTCTTTTTCGAATGGCGTTTTCTCAACAAAGCCTATTTTGATCAACCTATTTAAATTGCAATCCTGCCCCAACTCCAACGTACACACCCATCCATTGGCTTTCCCAATCCTACCTACTCTACTCTTTTCTTTATTTCCCCTCAACTTCTAATAGGCCATATAACCTATTTACTGATTGTGTTTACTCATGATCTTTCACCTCCTTGTAGAATGTGAACTCCACTGTGGCAACAACTTTTGTCTGTTTTATTCACTGATGTATTCCCAGGACAAGAACAGTGCCTGGCATTCAGTAAACAAATAAACGAAAGAACAAATAAGTGATTGTATGAATGATGGGCATTCATTTTATTTTCCATTTTTTTCAACTACATAAAATGCTGAAGTAAATATCCTTATACATACTTGCTTATGTGTTGGCCTTTTTATTTCTTATGGTCAGAATGCTTTCCAAAATGGAATATTTCCTATAACCATGGATGAGTATCCTTTCCTGCCTCCTAACTCCATCTCTCAGCCAGGTACAGGTGGCTTTTGAAAATCTATTCCTGTCTTTTTCCTTTTTATATATTAGATCCTCCCAATTACTGACCTCAGGGTCTTGATTTTCTACCCTGTTCTATTAACCCATAATCTAGTGTATACTAACTTCATGTTTTTTAAGGAAAAAAATAACCTGGGGAACAAAAGAGAAAATACAACTTGACTGCTCAAAAAGAATAGAACTGCTTCAATTTGAAGATGAATGAGGGAAAAACTTTAAAATAAGAACCACATCCACTCTGTCATTGAACATCACGACATCTTCAATCTGCCTGGAATATACAAATAATAAAAGTATTGTTTTCTTTTCACTAGTCATCAAATGACTGAGCCAATCTTGTATACTTTTCCTATGAAAAGTCATTTTAATTCCATATAATCTTGTCCTTTTTTCATTGTGCCTATGCTTCCATTGTTTTGAGTAATATTGTAGTAGTTAGGGTTCTCCAGAGAAACAGAACTAATAGGATGTGGATAAATACGGAAAGACATTTACTATAAGGAATTGACTCATGTGATTATGGAGGCTGGCAAGCCCAAATTCTGCTGCGTAGGCTAGCAGGCTGGAAAGCTAGGAGAGCCAATGGTGCAGATGAAGTCTGAAGACAATCTGTTGGGGAATTACCTCCTGCTTTGGAGGTCTGTCTGTTCTGTTCTATTGAAGCCATCAACCGATTGGATGAGGCCCACTCACATTATGGGGGGCAGTCTGCTCAAAGTTCACCAATTTAAATGTTAACCTCATCCAAAAACACCTTCCAACTGGACACATAAAATTAACCATCATGAATATCTTAGATTGTTTTTTATCCCTAGGAAAAGTTTATCCCTAAGAAAAGTTATCTCTAAAACAAGTTATTTTTTATCCCTAGGAAAACTTAGACTCCTAAGAAAAGAAAAGTGCTGAGTAGGCAAGACTTCAAGGCAAAAGTAAGTAAGATTACAAGCTTACCTATACTCTCACTCTATTAACTGCAAAATCATGAAAGATTATATTAATCTTAAATCACCGGGTAGGAAGCAAAACTTGTCAAGACTTTGTTGATGTTGATTTCCATCACGACTCTCCTTTCCGTCCTTGCCCCTGCACTTCAGAGGGACTGGAATGAAATTGGTGGCCAGCTACTGGCCATTGTGGCATCATGAGAACTCTTATCATTGCTAATAGTATACCTTTGCCTATTGCACACATTAATCTGAATGCCCCCTACTTGTTCCTGCCCTGATTGGGGACTTTAAAGACATCTTTAGAGTAGAGGAAATACAATCTGTGAGTCACTTAAAATATGAGTCATGGATTTCCAGATAACAATGTCAGTTCTGGGTCTATGCAATAATTCAGGGGTTAAAACAGAAGGGACTAACTCTCTTTTTATAAAGCCTATTGTGCAGTCCCCACACACAGACATAAGCATGCACTCTGATATTCACTCAAAAAGTTAAAGCATATTTCCAGCACAGTGGATTACCTGGTCTGGGTATCTTTATTAGATTTACCTGGTGTGTGATCAGAGTCTGCACTCAATGCTTCAGTAGGAATTCTGCTGCCAATGGCCCAGTCTAAGTCATCTTGCGAGTCTTGAGTAAGATTACAGGCTGTGGTCCAGTTTCCTGTAGTTGTTTCAAAATTGCAGCTTCCTGTTGTGCTTGTATACTGGCCTAAGGAAACAAAAATATTAATAGAAAGTTCTGGAAATGTATATTGCACTTGATATTACACTTCACGTGCGGTTATTTAAAATTAGTATTTTCATATTCTAATTATTTATTAATAAATTTAAAGAACCAGGACATTTGCACTCATTGGTAATATCACTTGTATGTTGTAGCTTTTTTTATCATAATGTCTAGAAGAAGTGCATAAATATTGTCATTTATACATTAAGGAGTTATATGGATTGACTAATAATATTTATAGGTGATAGATAAAACTATGTCTACACATGAACAATGAATATAACATTATGAATACAGATAATTCAGGTCAAATAAGTCAACAGCTTCAGTTGTCTGGATGTTTAACTCAGTCCCTCTGTTCAGGCTGGTGTTTGAACAGCATAGACCATTAGGGAGGCAAAGTCATTAAAGAAAAGATGCCTTTAGAAGAAGCAAACCATACAGGACACAAACCCTCTCGGCATACACACTAATCACCCATGTGCAACATTTCAGAGCTAGTTGCTAAATAATGAAAGAAGTCTTCTAAAAGTATTGATTGACAACTCATTAGAAATTAAGTTATTTACAATGAGAAACATTACTAGATAATAGCTGAATGTCTACTACCGAGTCATCAGTGAAAACTGTCATCATTACACCCTGATATCTGTTTGCATTTTTCTTTAATTTTTTTTTGCACAGCAGTTATTATTTTTGAGCATTCACTGTAAAAATTGACTGTGTTGTGCAGACAGAATGAATTATTGGGTGATTTAATCAGTATGAATCAACCAAGATTGTCATTTCTTTCTAGAAAGATAAAGTTTGTGTTGTTTTTAACATTTCTTCTCCAGTTGGTTTCCGGCTCATAACTTTTTCTTAACGTAAAACTAATATTAGCATATAGAAACTTCATCAGAAGAAAAACTTGCTGTTAAAATGGATGCCAAACATAGAGCAAACAAAGCTTTAATATTTTTATAGAAAATTTTCTGGCTTCCTAAGAGTATTTCCATAAAAGATCAACATTTAATTTCTCATGCATGCTTGCATCTTATCCCTAAAAACTGTAATCATTTTTAATTATGTACATTTCTTTTATTCATTCTACGTGACCTATAATGCATTGATTTTTATATGCTTATTTATGGGCTCTGTACATCCTTTTTTATGCTTATCATGACAGTATTATAGATAGGTTTATATTATGCTGTGCAATATGGATAAAAGTGAGAAATTCAGTTCCCCAGGTGTTCAGTTAAAACAACTGCAAACATGCAGAACCTTCCAGAATACGTTCAAGACAGCCATTATGTGTTCTTTAGAATGACGTCACATCCAGGTTCTGCACTATTCTATTTCCATGTAACTGGCTCCCTGACACACAGGCCCTACAATAATTATTCTACATCCTTTTCCATTCTCTGTGATCACCCTTGTCCCTCTTGTTCCATCTTATTTAACATATGACTTTATCTTTGACAGTAAAGATATCTATACAATCAGGATAAATTCTCTTATATTTCATTCTCTCTACCTCAAATTATGTCCACTGTTCCTTTTCTCTTTTCTAGGGCTAATCTCATTTATGATCTTGACTCCTTATCAAACACTGTTCTTAGATTCCATGCCTTCATTTATTTCAAAGTTACACAACTTTTCCACATTCTTCAATCTCACATTTTCTCCTAACTCCTTTCTTATAACCTGCAGAAATAGCCAGGATGCCCCTCTTGATTTAAAACATAAACATATATTTATTTGCTTAAATTTCTCACTGTATATAATTTCACTCATCCTTTCCATGACCTTTCACACTTTTAAGCAGAAGACCCACAAATCTACAGCCACGATGAAATGCAAGGTTTATCTTCAAATGTTTGCTAAACATTCCACTTGGAATATGCAACCGTCATCTCAAAACAGCATTCCTAGAACAAACTCATCATTCACCTCTCCAAATGTGCTCTTCTCTCGAGATTATTGATTGATTTCATGGCATGAATCTTCTCTTTCTTTTTAAAAATTCAAGCTTTGGTGTTACCTTTGATCCTACATTCTTCATTTCCATATCCAATCTATCACCAATATCTGTAGATTCTCCCTTTGAAAACTTGTTTAATTCACTCCCTTCTTTGCACTTCCATAGCCCCTGTTCCAGATCCATTGGTTCAAGACTCTGGTTTATTTTAAGTCTCTTTTTCAGTGTAGCCTTCATCCTATCAATCTTACAAACCCAAATCACATTAATCATCTTTAAGACTGCCCTTGCATTATTTCTCTTGCTCAAAATATTCAGGTGTGCACATTGTTTGAAAATACTCTCCAAAATCTCTGGACTTGTATACAATACAATTTCCTTTGATGCAAAGTGTTTTTTAGGCTAAAATGGGTCTCACCTTCAAGATTGTCTCTACTCCAACCAAAATTTTTTGGAGAATTATCTCTTGAATAAAAACTGACTTTTTTCAACTTTTATATTTAGGAGTACTTCCCTCTCTTTTCGAATGTTTCTCTAGTGGGTGGATGCTCATTTGTCAGTCATTCCTTCCCTCTCTTGTTTAGGACAGAACTGCAATTTTATCTGAGTATTTACCTTCTTTCACTCAGACGCATATTTCAAGGGTGAAAGAGCCTCCTCCTCAGCTCCAGGGGTGGCTCATGGTTTATCTAAGCAATTGTGAAGCAATGTTCTCTCTGTTCTTGTCTTGATTAGTTTAGACATAGGTCTTGGGATGCAATTCTAGACAATAAGACTTACTGGGAAAAAGGCACCCAGAAAAATTTTTCCTTGTTCTTAAAAACAAACCGAAAAGAAGAAAATCTATTTGTACTTTCTCCAGGATATCATTGCAAAGATACGATGTATGGGACTGAAGAAATTATATGAGGAGCTGATTTTATAAGAAAGTCAGTTATCTGAAGACGGCAGAGCATAAAGAAGGAAGGGGTCTATACAGTTCTATACTTTTTATGACAAAAGTTAATAAATTAACCAAGACTAGAGCTCCCTTGCTTTTGGACTTCTTGCTATTTGAGATAATATGTTTTCCTTATTGTCTGTATCTGTTAGAGATGTCTTTGGTTTCAAGTAACTGAAAACCCAAATAATAGTAGCTTAAACAGACAGGAATTAATTTATCTCAATTAACGATGTCAGGAAGTTGTCAGTTTAAGGCTGGCCTTGTGGTTCAACTACAATGTGTGGTTGTGAAGCACATACTGTCCATCTTTCCCTTCTGTTATCTTGTCATCCTCATGCTCATTCACTGTTGCAAGATGACCTCTGTACTTCCCAGTATCACAAATATTCAAGGCATTGAAAGAAATGGGAAGAGGAAAGGAAAAAATAGCTTTTTTTTTTATCCTGGTGCGTATTTTTTCTGAAAGAGATACTTTCTCAGAATTTCCACATATACCTCATTGGTCTTTGGTGGCTACAAGGAAGTTTGGAGAAGGGAGTATTTGTAGTTGGTCACAATGTTTCCCTAAATAAAACTGGAGATCTGTTTTTAAGGAGCAAAAAAAAAAAAATGGATAGGCAACTAACAATGACTATTATGCTGTCTAAACTGGTTGAGGTTGGAATTTCTGCTACAAGTATCTTAACATAATCTTCTCCATTCTATCTGGCAAATCATACTCTTGTTTGAATGTCCAATTCACGTCCTATCTCTCCCTTTCCAGACCACCTCAGTTCTCAGAGTCTATGTGTCTGTGTATTTTATGGCACTTAACAGCAATTATAGTTGTTACCACTATTTAGAAATATGAAACCCATTCATCTTTAGAAATCCATTACGTCTTTATTTTGCATTGTCATCTTAATTGTTATTTACCATTGAATTACTATAAACATTTTAACATCATCAGGTATTATAATTGAACTGCATTATATATACCATAAGTGGTTCCACACATAATTATTGATTGATGGATGATATGAAGACTTTGTAATATTTCTTGAAGATGAATATGTATCAGTATTTTCAAGACGGTTATTGCTTTAGAAATAATATTTTCCAAATTGTGATCTTTATCATGATCCCTTGAATGGATTTCAAATATCACTAACACTCTTTTAAACAACTGACATTTTCCCAGTGGTATAACATTCAGCCATGTAGTTGCAGGGTCAGTGTAAATATTGATCAACTAATGTAGTCTTTAAGAGATGGTTCCACAATTAGTTATTTATAATTCCTCATATCCACATATCCACCTTATTTTGCCATTCCATAATGCATAACACAGGAGTAGTAAATAGTTTCTCCTCATTGTGAAATGACTTCTTGGAGTGCTGCATTGAAAAGGATTTTGAAGGATCTGGGTAAGTGGAAAAGAATGACATACTGAATGATGTTTGTCACTGGTTGTAAGGGGAGGGAGAGAAAGTAACCACCCAAGTGCTATACATCCCTCGCCTAGAATACAAAGCACACAATATATGTTCTAGGTAATAATTTCCTTCCGTGAAAGAAGAGAGCACATTTTCTAATTTAACTGTTTCCAAAAGGAATTGATCTCATTTATTATAAACCTTGCATTTTTGCAACAGGAAGCAGAGATGCAAAAGAAAATTTTATCTTTGTTCATCACCTACAGCAAAAATTTAGTCATAAGGAATAGCTGCATTTATTTTCTGATAATATAAAGGACGTGTAAAAAAGACATTCACCATGACTAAAAATTTCAACAAAATATAAAAATACAAAATGGAAGAAACTAACATTATTAATCCCAGAAGACTGAACAAATATAACCTTTACATCGTTTCATTTAATTCTCAAAGCACTCTATAGGATGGGTGTTATTATATCTACTATATAGACGAGGAAAGTGAGTCTCCGAGAAGTTAAATAATTGCCAAACAAGTGAGGGTCAAAGTTAAAATGAAGACTTCATTTTGATAAACCCAAAGGTCAATTCTTTACTTATATTTCTCCAAAGGTCATTTTGAAAAGGTTGCAATTTATTCCGTACCCACAATAGATTATCTG